TCTATACTTAAGTTAATAAACAAATGGACGTAAACATACATTTTTTTTTAAAACTGATGTATGGGTGTATGTGTGCATATATATATATATATATATATATATAACCAGTCAAACATATTTTCAGCAGACGTAACCATGTTAGGATCATAAGCCTGGCGGTGTGTGTGGCCCGAACCCAACCAATGGGACGACCAGCTAGGGCTCTTCCCTGCTGACGGCGGGGTCTCTCAGCCATGTTGACTCGCGCGTGGCCAAGCCTACCACACCCAACCAGATACTCGACGCAGTGCTCGAAGGAGTTATTGGTATGCATAGAGTATTATTATCATTATATAATCATAAGAATAATATACCTTAAGATTAGAATTCTGTAAATATTTTTCCTTTCTTTTTTTTCTAAAATGGTCTTTGACAGAGCACTAGGATGGTGTGAATCGTGCAGAACGGAGAGTCAAACCTGCCCTTCCAAGTTCACTCTGACGGAAGCAGTTCCGAGAACTTCAGCAACGCTAAGGAGAAACGTGACTCCTTCAACGATGATAGGTATGAGATCAATGGAAAGGTATATGAGATAAGCTTAGAGACGGAAACTTATTTAACTCACTGATTTAAAAGCTTTTAAGGGAATTCTTTTTCTTGTGTGTGATTATTATTTTAAGTATTTTACAGAGAGTAACCTTTGCCGGTGTTGAAGCTCAGCCCCGACTATTCTGGTCAAGTTGTAGAGCGTGTGGACAAGATGTTTCGTCGATATCCAGCTCAACTTGTGCCTCAGAACCTGCTTGGAAGCGCAAGCAACTTGGACGGCAATGATATGAAGGACGTTCACACCGCCGGCTTCAGGAAGGCTTTGCGAGAGATCGTGGAGAAAACCATGTCTTCCAACGTCAAGGTACAGATCAACAAGTCCATCCAGGATATGAGGAATGCATGAAACTAGAGATTGATGCTAAAGAGATTTGTGAGAGTACAGTGAGAGATATAAAATATTGCAATCCTGATCTGTCCCAACACCTCGGAGAAAGAGATGGAAAAAATCAGAAAGAAGGAGGAAAGAACGAGAGAAGGGGTTGAGAAGAAACAGAGGAATGAGTGAGAGAGGGGGGAGAGAGAGATGGAAGAGGAAAAAAGAGTGGAAGAGGAGAAGGGGAAGCAGAAAGAAACAGACATACACATAGAGAATGAGAGGGGGAGAATTCGTGAAATAGATGAACTGATATCTATATCTATCTATCTCTCTATCTATATATATATATATATATATGTGTGTGTGTACACACATATGCATATATACAATGGTGTTTTCAACTGCTTTCTTTACGCCTCAGGCCCCGAAACCATCTAGGGCCACCCTCTAGCCCATACATACCCAAGGATTGACCAGGGCATGACACGGAGCACAAGGGACAGGTTTCCTTTTTTTCGCGTAGTGCGTATTGTGGCTTTAACTTTGTGAAGATAGAGAAAAGAAACCAAAGTGATCATAGGTTGAAGGATGGAAAAAGGAAAAGAAGAAGAAAGAAAGAAAAATGAATGTTATAAACTCGCAAGTGAAGGAACAGGCACTGGAAGACGATCGAAGTGTTGGTTTTATATGAAGCTGTTGCATCTTATGAAACCTATTGAGAAGGATAATCAGCTGAGAGAGGCAATTCCTGCCGACCATCGCTTGTCATTAACATTTGGTATCTGCAAGGAGGTAGTAGCATTTTAATATTTCATCTTTGTGCATGATTTTGCTGGCGTCCGTTTGTTATTTCTATGATGTATGTTTATTTGTAAATAAAATCGTAAGTTTTATAGAATTCTAATAATTACTATAAGAGACAACAGTGCTGGTAAGTAAAAAACAACAGCAACTAGTACAATGTGCAATGGAACAAATGTTTCAAGAGTTAGATTTGCTTGTTCTTGTGATTAAAAGACATTTATTAATTGATTATTTGCCTGTGTGTAAAACGTTCATTATTCCTTTATTGTAGTTATCATTCTAGAGATGATTTTTGCTGTAGTAAAGGTAATGTTCATTTGTGGGTACTCCCACAAATATGATATATACTGTATATATAATATATATATATATTATATATATATATATGTGTGTGTGTGTGTGTGGGTGTGGTGTGTGGTGTGTGTGTGTGTGTGTGGGTGTATTATATATATATATATATATATATTATATATATATATATATATATATAATATATATATATATATATATATATATAATATATATATATATATATATAATATATATATATATATAATATATATATATATATAATATATATATATATAATATATATATATATATATATATATATATATATATATATATATATATATATATATATATTAGAAGTCAGGAATAACAAATTTATGTAATAGATCCTTAAAGAATTCTATGATATTGCACAAATTGTGTGAACAAATTTAGAAAAAGACTTCTGCGGGGACCGTTTATTACGCTGAATGCATCCCGCGCGGCCGCAATTGGACGTTTAATGATACTTAATCACGATTTACAGCCAAATCATTTTCTTCGGGAAAGATAGTGTCAGACCATAGTATTGGAATATCAACTGTCATTTACAAGTTTCATATTAACAGTCGCTCACAAAACTTTTGATCGTTCGGGAAAAATCATGGTTACCAACATGAACAAATACCTCATTTCATTATCAATAAATCAGTCAGGATTGCATATATCTTACTTTCAGCTCGGGACAACTCCGCTGCCTCGGTTTTTAATCTTTTTAACTTTAATTTTATTTATTGTTTTCTACCCGAAACACACACACACACACACACACACACACACACACACACACACACAGGGTCTATGTGTATATATATATATATGTGTGTGTGTATTTATGTATATATTTTTGAAAAATTAAACCTATATATGTGTCTATTTATATACACAGACCTACATATATGAAGGCATGCGCGTTTTATACGCGAAATTGCGTTTATCAAATGTTTTGTTAATTTAAACTCTAATCTATAACACAAGCATCTTTTATCTTACTTTAGTCTAACGAATGTTGGGCATATTAACGTAGATATATCGAAACTTATGTTATAGATAAAATTTTAAATCAACAAAAAATGTAATAACTGCAATTTCGGGGCTTTGGTCAGAGAATGCGTTTGGACGTACATACAATCATATATGGATATGTATCTATATTAAGAAAAAAGTTCTTCTGAATATATATGCGGATGAGTGTCATCAATATATGGTAAGTATTGTAATTTCTGAAATCTATTATAAAGCACTGCAAAAACAATGGGGAAGTTTTCAGGCGAAATGGTGCGAGATTAGTCTTTAAAACTAACTATATATATTTATATTTTTAACGTCATACAGTAAAATATGAGCCGTATACTTATCTTAAATAGGATTCAAAGATATTTTTGATATAATACTCGCATTCAAATGAGTATATTCTAAAATATCTTATTGTGGGGCTTGGTGCAGGGTGCTCCTAGCTGGCCCGCATTTGTTCCAATACTCTGCAGGGCGAGCAATATCCGCAACAACATTAATAATACGGAAGAGTGCTGGGTACCGATCTAAGAAAGCCTACTCCGCGGAGACGTTAAAAGTACGGCCGTAAGTGAAGTAGAAGTAATTAAAAGTTTTACCTTTAACTTTGTTTTTTTATAGCGTTCAACACATAATGTAGAAAGCGTATATAAAGAATAAACTAATGGAAAGGTAGTCCACTTGAAAAAAGCGTTTCTCTGTATGAAATAATGTAAAGTTTTATTTTTAAGCAAGAGAAGTTTGAAATGTTTAAATAAAACATATATTCTGGGTTTAGATTTTTTCAAGAAGGAAAATATCTTTAGAAAAAATGCTCTGGTGGCGACACTGATAACTTTTACTTTTCTCTTTTACAGTAATTAGATATAAGTTCGTGAGATTAATTTCCAGTATCAATTTTCCTCGAAAATTAAATTCTTTGAGATATGACTTAATCACTGAAATGTGTGTGTATGCATGTATGTGTACATATTTTAATATACTGTATGAATACAAGCACACCTACAAGCATTTGCTTCCCAATAGGTATAGATTACATTTTATGGTAACTGTTTATACTAGTTAAGATTTTTGGGATACGATTTCCAAACGTGATATTTACGATAAGGATTTCCATTTTTTTTTCTTTTTATGCGTTCTTTTGTAAAAATACTTAATATTTAGTAATAAAGAATAAAAAGAATTTCACCTGTTTGACCTTTTACAAAAAAAAAAAAAAAAGTAGAAACGCTACAATGTACATCTATGCGCCGTGAAAAGGAAAGAAAAGAAAACGAAAAATGGGAAGTCCCTTTAGCAAGAAACAGATCCTTGATTTCTGTGACATGTTCAAGCTTAAGCAAATAGAAACCAAGGTAGATTTGCTTCATTATAGTGCAAAAACAATGCTATGGAAAGCAGTTCACACTTCCAAGTTTCTTTAAACATAGGGCTGGCAACTACCAGTTAATATGCATATAAACTGGCTCTGGTTAAAAGTGTATAGATCCAACACTTTTTTATGATAGCTATACATACAAGGATATTTCGTGAGGATATGAACAAAGGAATTCAAAGTTAATTATTACTGTACTTTATATGTCTCTTCGTACACTCACAGGTCTCTCCATCTTCATTTTGGAGTTTCAAGCATTCCTCATATCCTGGGTGGACTTGTGTATTAATGTGTGCATGTACAAGTATGTATGTGTGTGCCTGTACGTGTTCGTGTGCATATGTGTGTGAACGAGGGTAACTTCACGTTACGTGAAAGCATACGTGTGTTCATGTATTCACAGAAATTACTTTCCACATTTACATGTAGTTACTCAATCATCAGCTCTCATTTAAAATTATTTGATTTACTATCAGTGTAGAACATTGTTTGGGCCAATACTGTTAAATCTTATATTAATTGTAAGTCTAGATACTCTTCCTCTTCCTAAGAAATGATAAAGTAATATAATTATAACTTTAAATTTAATTGCTAGTTTTTATTTGTCTCTCCGTACACTCACAATTTCATCATGACGTTGAAAGATCAAGCATTCTTCATATCCTGGATGGATTTGTTGATCTGCACCTTGATGTTAGAAGACATGGTTTTCTCCACGATCTCTCGCAAAGCCTTCCTGAAGCCGGCGCTGTGAACGTCCTTCATATCATTGCCGTCCAAGTTGCTAGCACTTTCAAGCAGGTCATGACCTGGTCTTACGGCGTAGCTGGCGATGTTCTGAGGCACAAGGTTTAACAAGTTGATCTGGATATCGGCGAACAGCTTGTCCACACGCTCTACAACTTGACCAGAAACAGTCTGGGCTGGAGCTTCTCCAACACCGGCAAAGGTTACCGTGTAGTCGGCGTTGGCACGAGCGTTTTCCACGACAACCGAACCAGTGAGCACACTCTGTAAAAATTCATTATGTAAATTAGTAATCATTATATAATATACATTGTGCTTTACCCAACGAAAACGAAATATAAATGTAATATATCTCTTATAAACTTCTAGGTTAATGAGTT